TTTTTTCTGCTGAAGGCAGCTCAAGGACAACCCCACTGCCTCAGAGGCACACCCTCTATTATTACCATCTACTTTCTTGTCCCCTGGTCCATTTCCGAATTTAATTCATCCCCCTTTCTYTTTCACMTTACCACCAACCAAGCTTCTCGTGTCCCGCTCGGTGGAGCAGCAACACATGTGCACTACGAGTGCGGAGTCAGCCACACCGTCCCACAGAATCCTTACTTCKATGAATGAAGGGGAGAGACGAGATCATTCACCGTCCCAGACATAAGCGAGAGAGAGAAGAGACCATTCCCATTCACCGTGTCAGAAGACACCGGATCAACTCCCGCACACTGACACTGCTCTGCTGCTTCAGAGACTATTCTTGTTGTCCCAATACACCGCCTTCGCACAAGCAGTGCAGTTGACGACGGCCTTGGCTGGCTCGACAACGCGGAGACCTTGGGGCTTATTCCTGCAGAAGGTGACTTGCGTGTCTGAGGTGATGTCCACATTGAAGCTCCCGCGAGTCTTTGCGCTGTTGCATCGGAAAGTGCAGCTACAAAAATTGATGTCGTCGATGGCGCTGTCACCCTCCACTTCCACGGCGCCGCCCGACCCGTTGCGGGCGGAGTTTCCAACAAACTCGGACCTGGAGATCACACCGCCGCTGCCACTTTCGTAATYGAGTGCACCGCCATCGCCTTTCCTGGCCGTGTTTCCACGGAACGTGCAGTTGATGAAGTTGAGCACGCCCTCGAATACGCGAGCCGCACCTCCGCTCTGGCCGGCGGAGTTGCCGCTGAACACAGACCTCCTCACAGTTCCGACGCCGTTGCTGAACACCCTGATGGCTCCTGCCTCCTCCACTGCCCAGTTGTTCCGGAACTGGCAGTCGCTCACCAGAAGAGGCGAGTCGCGGACAGCGAGCGCTCCTGCGGTAAAAGCCTTGTTGCTCTCGAACACGCACCTCGTCGCCCTGATCTTCCCGTTAAACGCAAACGCGACCGCCCCAGTCCCGTCACTGTAATCGGACCCCGGGGTCCTCGTGTCGCGCATATTCTTGAAGTGGATATCGCTCATGCCCACATAAAATCCATCGCTCCTGAAGCCTCGGAACTTCCCCTTTCCGTCAACAACGCAGAGGCGTGGTCGCTGCCGCCGGTCCCTGCATCGTCCCACCAGCGTGAAGTCCTTTTTGGAGGGAGGCAGAGACGCCGTCAGAACCACGTCCGACGTCAAAACGAACTGGGATACCTTGGGGTCCTTCAACGCCGCGACCAGACGCTGCTCCGCGGTGATAGTCTCTGCTGCTGCAGCTCCCACCGGTCCCAGGCCAGTATTGCTCAGCGCCAACAGCACGGCCATGCCCAGCAACAGTATCGTCACCGTCATCGTGAACTTCGGGGCCATCCTCGCCTCGACGCGAGTGCGGTTCAGCTGCTCCTCGGAAAGGAACACCCCTCCCTTCTCCTCGTCGTACAGCCAAGAATTCCCTGCGTGAACGAGCAAGGGAGCAAGGGGCAGTCGCACAGCAGCCAACACAACAAACAGGGAACAGGTTAGCGATCAGAGGAACGAAACAAGACTGGATAAAGACAATGACCGGA